CTAAGAGAATCAGTGTAAATAGAACAATTACTGTACTGCATAGCTTCTACATGATCCAGAGCAAGAGAAATAGCATACAACTCGGCAGAGAACAAAGAAACTGTAGAGGGGATTCTGCGAGCAACAACTGAGCCACAGCACACCATGGTAGAACCTACTGAGTCACCCGATTTCGAATCATCCTTGTAAATAGGGAGAGAAGAATGGCTCGAGAGATGCTCAGCAAAAAGAAGACAGTACTTCCAATCGGGAGTATCCACCTTCCTCAGATTACTCAGAGAAAGATCACAGGAAGGGATGGTAATAAGCCATGGTGGAATGGGCTGATCATTGGGGACAGCAATGTCATTCAATGTCAGACCCAATTCAGCCAGTTGTGTCTGGATACGAAAACCAAAGTAAGGAATAGCAGACCATCTGTTCCGATAGAGCATGGCACATCGAGGGAGAAAGACACAATCACAAGTGGGATGCTGTGGTAAGGATTGAAGCTTGGCAGCATATTGTAAAGAAAGTTGTAAACGACGGAGGTGAAGAGCAGGTTCGTGGGACTCTGGGTACAAACTCTAGACTGGAGAAGTGCAAAAAGCCCTGGTGCAGACCTGAAGCCCCAGATGGTGAATGGGGTCCAGCATCTCCAAGGCCGAGGTCCTGGTGGAACCATAGACCAAAGACCCATAGTCCAGTTTGGATCAAATCAGGGCACGATAGATCCTGAGCCTAGAACATCGATCCACTCCCCAAGAGCTGGAAGAGAGGACATGGAGGATGTTCAAAGCTCTTGCACACTGGACACATAGCTGCTTGATGTGCGGAATGAAGCTAAGCTTACGGTCAAAGATAAGCCCAAGAATTTTGCCTGAGGGACCACACGAATAACTACATCGCCGAGACGGAGCTCAGGATCGGGGGCGGAGACCCCGTTGGTGACAAAAATGCATGCAAATGGTTTTGGAAAAGAAAATTTAAAACCGTTTGCAGTGGTCCATGTTAACAACCGATTGAGGGCAGTCTGAAGCAGCTGCTCAATAAACCTCATGTTCGATGACTGCCATGAGATGTGGAAGTCATCGACAAAAAGCCCATTTGCAACAGTCGAAGGAAGATTATTAGTGATGGCATTAATCTTAACATTAAAAAGTGTGACACTCACGACACAGTCCTGAGGGACTCCGAGTTCCTGTGGAAAGGAACGGGAAAGAGTTGGATCCACACGGACTTGGAATCGCCTGTCCAGTAAAAAGTTTTGAATAAAAATGGGTAGATGGCCACGTAACCCCTAGGAGTGGAGGTCCTGCAAAATTCCATACCTTCATGTGGTGTCATAAGCCTTCTCGAGATCGAAGAACACAGAAACAAGATGTTGTCTCTTGAGAAAGGCTTCCCTGATCGACATTTCAAGTCGAATCAGATGGTCCATGGTGGAGCACTGGCGACAGAACCCACACTGGGTGGGTGAGAGGAGCGTGTTCGATTCGAGGTCTTAGGAATAAAACAAGCAACTGCCTGGACAATACAGTCAGTTACTGCAACCACACAGTCATCTATTGATGGCAGACAGACAAAGGCAGGATCAAGTTCAGAGAGAGAGAGGTGAAAGATGGCCAGTCAGCCTTGTCCAGCTTCCACCGTGGCACTCGGGTCAGGTGGCATTGACCATGGCCAACCTCCCTCAAATGATAGGAAAATGATCACTGCCCCGTGGATCACAGTCGACCATCCAAGAAAAGCGAGTAAAAAGTGAAGAGGAGCAAATCGAGTGATCAATGGTAGTAAAAGACTGACTAGGTGCATGAAAATAAGTATATGTTCCAGTACTGAAGAGAGAAAGGTTGTGTACTGAGAGCATACGCTCTATGGAACGACCCCTCCCATCAATATCAGCACCACCCCAGAGGGGGTTGTGTCCATTAAAGTCTCCCAGAAGTAAAAAGGGAGATGGCAACTGGTCAACGAGAGCATCAAGGTCTGATTGATCATAAGTCTCCCCAGGAGACAGGTAGAGAGAAAAAACAGTGATAGTACAACCCAAGGAAACACGGATGACTATGGCCTCCAAGCGTGTATCAAGGGACATAGATAAGGAGGACACATGCTGGTCGACCAGCAGTGCCACCCCTCCATGCACCCACCCATCACACAACCTGTCATTCCGGTACAAAGAAAACTGCCAAAAGGTGACTGTATAGGCAGGGTTCAGGAATGTTTCCTGTAAGGATAGATACACGGGATGATAGGAGTCAATCAAAGCCTTAATGTCATCGAGATTAGAATGAAAACCTCGACAATTCCACTGTATCAAAATGGCCATTTTTATGTATGTTTATTAGAACAGGGTGGAGAACCACGCTGTTTTTCTTTACTAGATGGAGGTCGATCGACCTCCATGGATCCTCCCCTTCATCGTTTAGGGCAGATCTCTGTCATTAGAGTGAGAATCCAATGAATGAGGACATGATCGAATGATTATCCTGCTTTTAGGAGCCAAAGAAGGCCCCGCACCGACACCAGAGACTGGTGTCCGAGGAGGCTGACCCAGACAGTCACTGGAAGGAATAGTGAGGACAGAGATTGGAGTAGACATAGAACTATCAACTCTATTATCTATGGAGGGCAGAAGACCTCTCACATGGCGTGAAAAAGACTCAGATGGAGGCACGGAAAG